TGGCAATAAAAAGGCTCTTTACTAGGAAGATTGGGGACTTTGGGATGAGACAGATCCGTCTTAGAATACTGGTGCTTCTTTCTGTGTGATCTCTTGCAAATAACTAAGCTCAGAAAAGCAGTTTTCATTTGAAAAAATGGTAATACCTCCCACCATGCATGAAGTGATGATTAGGGAGAAGATAAGTGAAATGTGTAATAGATAGAAGGTACTCAGTAAGTGCCATGTCGATGCCCTAAGTGAGTTGGCAGACTTGTTACTACAGAACCAGTGGTAATGAATTTATTTGATTTAGCTCTGAAATATACTTTCCATTTCTGTATGTGTAGGGCATTAAGGGATAGGAAATAAAGGAAAGGTTAGGTATATGAAATTCATTGTGAAGAAAAACAAAATAGGGGAAAAATAACCACAAAATTAAATTTCTTCATAGTAATTCATAGGTGAGTACTCCTTTGGAGGAATGCAGGTTTCAATGCTTATCAGTAAAACAAATTTAATCAGTCTTTTTAGTTTAATGGCCACACCTCACTATATGACATAGTGACTTTGGTGGGCACTTAATAATTGGAGTTGAGAGTTTTTTGAAAGATATGCTAGCAATGTTTCTAAATCTGATATTCCATGATGACCACAATGTGGTTCAATTCTCAAGTATCTGGAAGATTAAGCCCACATGAACATTATCCACAGATAATATTAAAAGTTAATAATCAAATAGTTTTAACTATTTGATAAGTACTAACCCTACTTAATGGTTAGCTGCAGTACTGACAGGTAATGATAGATACAGCAAGTTATGGGGGCTAGGGCTATAAGTGAAACCATGTACAAAAGCAAATATCTATAACCTCTACTTGTCAAAAATCCTACTCTACTTATAAGGCCTAGTTCAGATTATACCTCCTCCAGGAATTCTTTGTTACTTCCAATCCTTTTCACTGGTGGTCCCCAAAGATTTCACATCTTTAGTTTAGACTTTATATAGAGTTGAGTGACTTGCCTTACATTATAGTTATCTGTTTAATATCTATCTCCCTCCACTAGCAATGTTAAGTTCTATGAGGGCAGAGACTTAGTTTTGCTCATTACTGTATTTCCAACATTTACAAGAGTGCTTGGCACATAGTGGGTTTTCAATATATACTGACTATGAATATGAAATTATATAGTTCATGGCATACTTTTTTTTCTTACTAGACTACTACAGTCTATGTATTTCTTGAAGCTAGGTGATGGGGTTTTGGTTTATCTCTTATTTTTCTCAGCATATAGTTTAGTCTTGCACATAGCATTGTTTATCATTGAACTGCACTGTAATTTTCAATTCATCCTTAAAGGGACTTGCTAAATTATTAAAATTAGCAGCGTCTGTATTCTTTATCATAGAGGATCACCACTGTGAATTACATTTAAGAAGCCTCAGAAAACTGTTTTTTGGTAGTTTTTTTTAAATTTTTTTTTTAAGATTTATTTATTTATTTATACAAGCACTGGGTACAGTCAGAGGCGCGGGAGGGTGAGAGAATTCACCAGAGCCAGAGCGGAGAGTAGAACAGGCAGAGTGATGAAATACACTGCTGAGGGGAGCAGCGGGCGGCAGGAGAGTTCTGCGCGCCATGTGGGACCCTCGCCCGGCAGCCGGGGATCGAACCGGCGCTGCAGAGGTTGTGGGCAGCTTCGCAACCCAGCGCTCAACCGCTGGGCAACCGGGGAGGCCCTGTAGTTTTTTGTTTTTTTTTTTTTTAACACAAGAACTGGGATACAGGCCAGATGTGCAGGAGGGTGAGAGGATTCACCAGAGACAAAGTGGGGAACAGAAGAGGCAGACTGACGAAATACACTGCTGAGGGGAGCAGCCGGCAAGACACAAGAGGTCTGCTGCGCCATGTGGGTTTCTCCGTGGCCGGCTGGGATCGAACCTGCACTACAGAGGCTGCGGACAGCTTCATAGTGCAGCACTCAACCGCCTGCGCCACCAGGGAGGCCCAAAACTGTCTTTCTTTTAATAGGGAGAAGACTACCATTTGATGAATGGAAGGTAAGGAAATTTTAAAGTTGAGTCAGATTTGGTCTACAAGAATTCACAGAAGAAAAGATATTGGGGGGGAAGATGGAGAAAATATGGTAGAGGTTAGGGATGTTTAAAATAAAGCCAAAACAGGGTGCAATAGTGGTGCAAGGGGGTAAGTCTCAGCACTATAAAGATATTGGTAGTCACTTCAACACAAGTTTGACCTGGGCCAGTGAGCTGAACCACATGTCACAGCAGACCTCTCCTGTCTCGCCCACTGCTCCCCTCAGCTGGACATTTTAGTCAATTGGCCTGTCCTGCTCCCCAATCTGTCTCTGGTGAATCCTCTCACCCCCTGCACCTCTGGCCTACACCCCAGCTCTTGTATGCATAAATAAATAAATCTTTTAAAAAATAAAGCCAAAATAAACATGTTCCCCATTAAAAAGAAAAGAAAAGAAAACTGTCTTTGCCAATAAGAAAAATGGCAGTTACAGCATGGATTATGGATTATTTTTCCAGGCTTGGCGAATTCCCCAATTCTTCAAGCTATTACTAAGGGACAAAATAGCAAGGGACACTGATGAAACATGGTTCATCCAGAGCCATGGCTTATGAGCTTAACTGTACATTAGAATTCCCTGGGGAGCTCTTTAAGAAATAGTGATGCCTGGATCTATCCAGTGAGCTTCTGATTTAATTTGAAGAGAGTTCTAACAATCACATTTCTTAAAAGGTCCCCAAGTGATCCTACTGAGTGACCCAGGTTGAGAAGAACTGCTTTAGAGTAAGTGTATAGTAAGTGAAATAGCACTTTGCTATGGAAAAGGCAAAATCTGGAATAGAGAGCCTTGAATTGTAGTCCAGACTGGGTGTACCACTAATTTCTCTTTCTGTTTGATTCTATCTTCTCAAAAGCAAAATGAGATCTAACAAGCTGTTAGAAAGACAGAAAAAGAAAAATGGCCACAAAGCATTGCCTGGGCATTAAGTAATATGTAAATATTTATTTAATACCTTCACTAGGAAGGATCTTCAGTCTTCTAGGTCTAGTTTGATATCTTGACAGAACCCCACACAGAAATTGATTAACATGGGTGAAATGAAAACTTATATTTTCATTTAACAAATCCAAAGTGGAATAAAAGAAGCAATTAGAAAACAGCTGGTGATTCCCCTTTAATGAAAAATTGTCCTGGGCCTCCCCAGTGGCACAGCAGGTTGAGCACAGTGCTGTGAAGCTGTTGGCAGCCTCAGCAATGCCAGTTCGATTCCTGGCTGGCCAGGGAGAAATCCACGTGGTGAGACAGACCTCTCCTGCCTCACCCGCTACTCCCCTCAGCAGTGTCTTCAGTCTGTCTGCCTGTTCTGCTCCCTGCTCTGACTCTGGTGAATCCTCTCACCCTCCCACACCTCTGGCCTGTACCCCAGCTCTTGTATAAATCAATCAATCAATCAATCACAAATAAAAAAATAAATAAAAGAGGAAAGTGCTCAAGACAAGGGTTGTCTGTTTACATTTAAAAAAAATAAATGAGAAATGGTCCTAAAGAGATGGACTGGCCACCTTAGGAGTAAGGCCCTTGATTAACTCTCATTTTAGTTAATTGCTATGTTCACAAACTATTTAATCAACATGAGAGGACAATCAATCTCAATCTCCTTGCTATAACAGGCCAGAAATTCTGGGCGAGAAGTAATTAAGCTCTCTAGATTTTTTATCATCTGACAAAATTTGTCCTTTCACTTTAGTGTTCCTTCAAATCCTAAATTAATTCCTGCCAATGCTAAAATATTCCTTCAAGGAATACAGAATGTCTCCTACGCTCAAATTTGTTGTTTTTAAATATAAGTTTACAATATACATGAGTTAGCCTATCATGATAATTATTTTAAGGTCAAATCTATGTCTGAACCAAACTTCAAAAATAAGTATGATCTAGGTAAAAAAAGACAAAACTAGTAGGCAACTATAAGTTAGAGACATTCAGCAAGGGAGGGGAAGAGAAAGGGATTAAAATAAGGGTGGGGAGGGCCTCCCCAGTGGCGCAGCGGTTGAGCGCTGGGTTGCGAAGCTGCCCGCAGCCTCTGCAGAGCCGGTTCAATCCCCGGCTGCTCCCCGGCCACTGGAGGAGGGTCCCACATGGCGTGCAGACCTCTCCTGCCGCCCGCTGCTCCCCTCAGCAGTGTACTTCAGTCCTTCTGCCTGCTCTGCTCCCCGCTCTGGCTCTGGTGAATTCTCTCACCCTCCCGCGCTTCTGACTGTGCCCAGTGCTTGTATAAATAAATAAAAATAAATCTTTAAAAAAAAAAAATGACTGTTTAAAAAAAAAATAAAATAAGGGTGGGGAGAGCACAAGAGACTATGGTGATGGTGCACGGGTGACTTGGTGGTGGGAACTTTATGGGGACTACACCTGAGAGGATAAATCAGACATTGTACAAAAATGAACAATGATGTAAACAATATATATGTAAATAAATATTAAAAAAACCTCTAATCTAAAGAAAGGAATGTTTCTTAATATAAACACTATACTTGCAGCACAGGAGTTAAAAGTCTACCTAAATATTTGCAATTAATTTTTTGAAATTATAATTTCCAACAGATAAGCTGGGTACCAGGTAGTACTGTCAAAGTGCTCTCTGGGAGAGAAATAATGTCCTCTGTCACTCTCGACTAATGATGAGTTGCCCTTACAACTAAGGGAACACCTTGTGGGGAGCAGCTAGACTGAGTTCAGCGAAGACGCCACTTTCTCCCGGAGTCCAGCCTGCCCTCACTTAGAGCTCACAGCTTGGTTCAACTTGCATGAACAAGAAATCTGGGGTGATCTGGACTTTGCCCTTTTCCTCACGTACTGCTCCTTTTTTTTCTTTTCAGGTACCAGAAATGAATTAGTTATAATCCTTAGTTCATTATATATTCTTTGTAATAACTTTAAGTTCCCATAGTTTCTTTTCTTCCTTTGGTAAAGATATTTACCTTTCCATCTTTGAAGTGCTTCTTTAGCTGCTTCTGCATGGCAGTCAACTTCTTGGACTGCACCCCACTGTATGCCAACAGCATGCCACCAAACTGCCTCTCAGTAATTCTCCCATCCACAGGGTCATGGCGTTCAAACTGGAAAGGAAACAGAAAGAGTGTTCTTGGGATAAAATGGAAAGTATTTTCACATGAAATGTAGAATAATCAACTGTGTTAGATGGTAAAACATAGTTGATAGTCAGGACTGTATTTTCAAACTACAATTTTCAGCAAGATTTGAAAAAATTAATCAGAAATAGAAGGCCTAAGTTTTTATTTGAGCTCTGCCACTAACTACTTATGACATCAGGAAGTTACCCAATTATTCTGGGCCTCACTTTCCACATGAATAAAACAGAGCTTCTATAACTTATGTATGTTCCAAGCCAATGTTAAAGATCCACTCAAATCCATGAGTAATAATTATTAATATGTGCTTTCTGGACCATCCATATCCCCTTTACTCAGAGAAAACGTAAAAGCTAATTATTATCAATTTGATCAATCATACATATGTAAAGTCAAATCAGTTCTTTAATCTGTACTTAGTATTTGTTATACATTCAGATCTTTAAGGATGTCAAAGAGTATGGCATTTTCAAGTTTTCTCCAACAGTTAACTAAGTTCTAGACCATCAATAGAACTTGAAAAAAATGCGTAGTTACCACAAAAACTACTGGAAAATCATTAAATATATTTAAATATGCAGATGGAAAGGTTAAGCATAAAGACCTCTAGTTAATCTAAATAATCCAGAAAACCAAGATTTTCATTTAAAAATGGAGACAAGAAAGTTATCTCATTCCTAGCTGCAGTGTTAATGATACTTACAAATACATAAATAATAAAATGACTAAAAATTAGCCCAGAAACCAATTAGAAAGCAAAATGATTTGAAGATAAAACTTCTTTATAGATTTAATGGAAAATAACAGAAAACTTAGATTTCTACATGGCAAGGCATAATTAATTCTGTTCTTATAAAGGAGTATATATAGATGTGAGACATTGCTAAGTAAGGTCAAAACAATAAACGTTTCCTGAATGTCTATCAGTTGTCTGGCACTGTGTTAGTCATTGTGGAGTAAGGGAAAGAAGGAGAAGATTCCATTTCGATCCTCAGGGCCTTCACCTTCTAGTAGGGGATAAGACTGTCTTTTTTTTTTTTTTTAAAGATTTATTTATTTTATTTATACAAGCACTGGGTACAGTCAGAAGTGCAGGAGGGTGAGAGAATTCACCAGAGCCAGAGCAGGAAGCAGAGCAGGCAGAAGGACCGAAGCACACTGCTAAGGGGAGCAGTGGGCGGCAGGAGAGGTCTGCGCGCCATGTGGGACCCTCCTCCGGTGGCCGGGGAGCAGCCGGGGTTTGAACCGGCGCCGCAAAGGCTGCAGGCAGCTTCGCAACCCAGCGCTCAACCTCTGTGCCACCAGGGAGGCCCGGGATAAGACTGTCTTAAGGCAAAAAATAAGGATGCATTCAATAGAAAAAATTTTTTTTCCAATTTTCATTTCCTAAGTCAGTGTGATAAATCGATATACACCTTAACTTGTTTTCTCACTGGTGAGATTCAAGAACTATATTTTAACAACAGCAACCATCAACTGAGCATGTAATATGGGTCAGATACTTCACTCATAAATTTTTTCATTTAATCACTATTACAACCCTACGGAGCAGATATTATTAGTTTAATTTTATAGGTGAGAAAACTAAGGCAACTTGAAGTTACATGAGGCAGAGCTGGGATTCAAATTCAGCTCTCTCTGGATCCATTGAAATATATTTCAATTTCACTTTCATCCTATAAGAGAGTACTGCATTATTTTGGATACTTATACAGTCACTGGACTTAGTCATATTTAAGTGAGAAGCAAAACTATTTCCAAAGAAATCAGCATCATCAATTTTAAGTGAAGGCCTCTTTTTAAACTTCAACCACTCAGCATGTTTGTCAAGCATCACTTTTACAGAGCTGATTAATTTTTGACAGTACCAAAAGTTTTCAGGATTCAATTTAAATTTGATTTATGGTTCAATTTACCATCCTGAAATAAAATGGAAGACTGATAAAAGTTTTGCAAACTTTTTTGGGCATACTTTCTGCAATGTTTAAATCAGATTTTTACTGAAATGTGGGGAAAAGCTGGTGATGCCTAGTTTGTCTGTGGGCTTCCTCAAGGCAGGCAAAACAAAACTGATCTTTGCTCTTCATGCTAGGCTTTAATAATTTAGCACATTCATTTTACTCTTATCCTGGAGATTTCACAGGTACAGAGAAATCCCATGTATTTGAATTAGATGAGTTTTAAGTGATATCCTACAAGACAGATTCAATTTCTCTTCATAATGTAGGCAGCAGCAGCAGCTAGCTCAGGACTTGGGAAACGTCTGTATTCCTGTTCTCCACAGGGGCTTAAAACCCACTTCTGTTCTTCTGTTATATATTTTAAAGACAGTAGAGACAATTTCTAATGGAGATCCCCAAAGTAACAATTCCAGTGTTCAAATTAGCATTTTTACTAATGGTGTTTGAAAACATACTTTTTTTGGTAATGTGTTCTATTATTGTTGTTATTATTTTGATGTGAGTGGAACCTGAAAGGGCTTAAAAATGATGAAATTGAGCACTATGCAGCATGACCCACTTTAACCTTTACTACTAACTGTAATTTGCACCTCTGGTTCTTCTGCGGTAAGCTGCTTTATTTCTGAGGTCTTTAACATGATTGGAAGAGGAAGGGGAGAGCCGTCTCTCTCAATACAAAAATGCTAACGGAAACCCACTTGAACTAATGTGTCATTCACTCAACACTTATTAATTGACAATCAACTATGCTAAGGTTAGGGAGCTTCAAGAGTAGTTTCTCAAGGACCTGTATTGGAGACGAATTTTCAAGGGTAATAATTAGACATCATGTGTCCCTAGAGCTGAAGTGTGACACCCACAAAACCCAGTGGGTATGTTAATGGGTCACTGTGTGAATGAAAACCTCACTGTCCTAAGTGTGTGTGTGTGTTTTTTTTTTTTTTTGGAGGTGGTATGGGGGAAGACATAATTCATTACGAAATTAATACAATGCAGAAAGCTTTTAATGGGATGTCTGGAAACAATTCAAGTGACTGACTTGCATTTTATCTAGCCAAACACTGTCCTACTTCAATGACAATTAAGAAATTCCATTCTATTTGATCGTGTGCCACAGAAATGTGTGCATTTCCACACACTGCATTTCCACCATTTGCATCGCTTTTGTGTCTAGGAGGACAGCTGAGAGGCCCAGCATTTTCTTTTCTGCAGCCATTGCCACTTTTTCAAATGTACACAAGCTGCTGGCTTCCTGTTGTTCCCCAGGAGGCTGCAGGACAGGCAAAGGGGGGCCAGAGAAAAGGAGCCAAAAAACTGTAAGATTTTTCCTGGCTTTCTGTTAATACAGCACCTCTTGTTCCCACTCCTACTCCTCATAGAGAGAAGGAATAGCCTTTGGAAGGACAGATGGTCTACCTATAGACCATGATTTAAGGAAGATGAAAGCCAGGAGGAGGAGATAACATGTTTCATGACCAGAAGCCAAAATGTGATCAGAAAAATAGTAAAAGGAAAAAGAAATCAGTGTTTGCAAGTGGGCCCTGATTTATTAAGACTTTGGAGGTTAATATATATCAATAAAAGCAAACTTCAACCTCTCTTTCATAACAATTGTCTTTCAGGAGACTTTTTCTATCATCTAGAATAAATTCTGCCCTTATACAAGTATTTCAGCATGATCATTTCCCTGACAGGATTTTTCTAGTTTCTTAACTTTACAATGCAAGTAAGCATAGTAATCTCAAGCCACTGAGCTGAACACACCTATGGCAGCATGTGGTTTTGGGGATCTTAATCATACCACTGCTACTACTACCACAAGACTAAGAACAACTGTCTATTATGCTCATACAAAAAGAAAAACAACTATAGGCAAAGTTCTCTATGGCAAGCCCACCTAGTATTTATGACATACTCAGTTCATAGTTTAAATGTGGATTCCATGCTTCTACAATTGGCAGGGGGCATCCAAGAGTCTCAGGTTAAAGTGACTGGAGCTTGAATTTTCTTTTCTTTTCTTTTTTTAAGATTATTTATGCATTCAAGATCTGGGGTACAGGCCAGAGGTGTGGGGGGTGAGAGCATTCACCAGAGACAGAGTGGGGAACAGAACAGGCAGATTGACTAAAATACACTGCTGGGGGGAGCAGTAGGCAAGTCAGAAGAGGTCTGCTGCACCGTGTGGGTAGCTCCCTGGCTGGGGATCAAACTCATGCTGCAGTGGCTGCAGATAGCTTCATAGGTCACATCTTAACCCCTTGCATCACCAGGGAGGCCCCAGAAGCTTGAATTTTCTTGCTTGTTAAATATCAGATACATCTTCACTGTCCACACTAACATGGTTGTATTTTTACCAACTGGTGAGCTGATGATGGTTCAAAAATTGGAAAGAAGGCTACATAGCTTGGTGCCCTTGGCTGGAGGCAAAATAATCACTTATGTCTAGGACCACAAGATTATACATTACCAAACTAAACTGCTAGACTTCTACTTCAAATCCAAGATTTCTTTCTATTTTAAAATTGCTTTTAAGGAAGTTCAGGTTGGTGATCAAATTAAGTAGTAGGCTAACTTTCCATTCTGATAGTCAAAACTCTGAAAATTACAAGGTTGATACATGAACATACCATAGGATAAAAAATCATGGTATATTTAATTGAGGATACTGGATAAAAAATCTTTAGATCTAAGTAAAGGGTTTGGTAAGTTTTAGTTTGACTTCATGGAAGATATTAAAGTGACTAAGAATACTGGCTTTAAATTAGCAAGGTTGGGTTAGAATTTTGGCCTGAACATATATTTGCTGCCTCTATCTCTCTCTCAAAATATTATACACTTTTTGAAGGAAGAATCTATGCTTTGCATTTTTTGCTGCATAATACACAGAGCTGGAATACAGCATGTGAACAGTAAATAATCTTGGTTTACAGATCAAAAAAATGCCTCATTTATAACTCACCTACCAATTTCATATTTACAACCTAGTAGGAGCATATAACACACTTT